GTTTTATCGTGCTGTGTCGCTAAAAGTACCAACCATGAAAAAGAAAAGCGTTTTGTAGTGGCATCCTGTTAAACTTAAAGTAACATAACCCTAAATAGCTCGTAAAATTGCGCGTACTGTTGTTGAATGTTTTTACTTCATTTAGGATTGATTGGATTATGCAATACTTGGATTCTCATTAATTAGTGCCATGGATAGCGAAAGGAGTAAGATTTTGATAATTATTTAGAATACGGGCATCTCCGATTTTGATTAAATTGGGCTCATTCCACGCGTTTTCATTCAAAATGAAAGAATCTTGCAGAAAAATGCGGCAGTTGGCCTCGTGAATCGAGATATTAAGCGTTAACGTTCGAGATTTTAGAAGTTGTTGAATAGTGAGGAGATATACGGCCAGAAAGTTTGTTATAATTGATTGTAGAGCCATCTGTAGGGGTTTTATCGAAACACGTGTTCCAAGCAGCACCCTGAAGGCCATCACACGTAATAAAAATTTTAGTCGTAATCGTAAAACCGTAAGCAAATCGGCCAATCACAGTCGAGCGTTAAAAACGGGAGATCTTAATTTTGATTGTGATTAGTCGATTTGCTCGCGACCTTACGATTCCGATTAAAATTTTTGTACGTGTGATGGCCTTGACACTGAGTGCGTTCAGGGAGACACTGGCTGCGTTCAACAGAACGTTTGTTTTGCAACTGTTGGAAGTTTCCTTCGCGCTAATTGGATCATACTTTTAGATCTAGAAGAATGGTCCTATCTCAGCAGATAATCATAAAACGGTTACAAAACTGTTGAGTCTGCTGAACGCAGCCACTATTCGCGCTATGGACGCAAACGCTACCAACGCTGTTCATGGAACCAATAGCGCGATAGTATTGGTAAGCTCCATGAACGACCCTAGCGAGCGTTGATAGCGTTTAATGTAGAGGATTCTGTCATTGGCTGCGTTCAACAGAACGTTTGTTTTGCAACTGTTGGAAGTTTCCTTCGCGCTAATTGAATCATACTTTTAGATCTAGAAGAATGGTCCTATCTCAGCAGACAATCATAAAACGGTTGCAAAACTGTTGAGTCTGCTGAACGCAGCCATTCTGTTCTCAAGCACCGACGGCACCGACTAAACTTTTCTCCCTTTACAATTTCGTAGAGTAAACGTATCCAAATGGATTAAATTAGTTTGAAAAATTGCATTCAGAATTTTGAATTGAGGAAGACATAAAAATGTGCTTCGTGCAATTCCTATAAACGAATAAAAATATATTCGGATTGAAAAGAATTCATTACGAATGCGTATTTCTGAAAATCTGAATTCATTTCAATCTATTCTCGTTTACTGGGAAGCTCAGACTATCAGACGAGCAGACATGTCATAATTTATATTTGTAAATGGTTTTTGCATGTTATTTAGTAAAACATGATTTTTTTTTGTACCGACGAAGCTAATAAATATAATATTTTGTGAAATATTTCAATCTTGCAAAATAATAGAACTGTTCCGAGCATTATGGATTTGAATGTTCAGTAGATGTATGTAGGACATAATAAGGCGTTCATTTGATAGTCCATGAGATGTCTCTGGATTATAATAAAAGTATTCCCTACAATATGAATAACTCAGTATTAAATTCATTGCGTTCATTGATTTCTATTTTAAAATTTACTAAATTCTTTATAATCTTAGTTTCATATTGAACTGTTAATGAAATCTTAATAAAATAATGTTAAAAACGGGTCAACTGATACAAATTTCAATATGCAATTTAGTAATATTTCGTTATTATTCATTACAACTTCAGTAAAAAATTTCCATCAAGGCAGATAAAAATAAAAACCAAAAATTATAATATATTCTACATTCCGTTTAAACGCGAATCTGTTCAAGCAGTCACATAGTCAGTGGACATCAACACATGTAAAAATGACGAAGAACGCGCGTTCGTTAGAAAAATCGCGCGCTCTAGAGGTGTATCCTGTTTGACATATGATTAGAGCATAATGTATCATATCTTCGTTTAACATTTGGTAAACAAGGATAAAAGATGCATCATGAACGATATGAACATATAAGTACTGCATGAAACGATATGCACCTGAGTGCCATCTAGGTATTATTTTATTTTTTTATTCACAAATGTTAAACAAAGATAACATGACACCTAGAGAGTGCTCGGTTAGAAATTTGAACGCATCTCCTGGGAGTACAGGTTTAAACCTCTTGGTACTTAAAAATTTAAAAGAATCAACTCTATCCAAATTTACTCTCTAAATCTCGTAGAGTGAAATCTCACTCGAAGGGACTGAAAATTGAATCGATCTTGAAAAAAAAGGAGTGAAAATCTGCCATTCTTGAACAAGAGTGGTTTTTTCACTTTTTTTTCCAGATGTTGCCTCTTCCACGATTGGTATTCTCGCCACGCTTATTTTACGAAAAATTTAGTTTTTTTTAGTTTCGTTTTTATATAATATTCTTTCTTAAGTTTCCTTATTTAAAATTTAAAATTGATATTTTGTCAATATTTTTGTTTTATTAATTATTTCATAGCGCTGTTGTTTGGTAAAACATCACTGAAAAATTAACGAAAAAGTATTTGAAAAACTTTCTAAGAGACTTTCTTAAGTAGGTATTTATAGTCAATTCTTATATTCAAGTGTCACGAACCAATCAGAGGGCCGCATTAGCGTCTTAAGACATTACTTAAGACGGTCTTAAAATAAGAACCGACTATGAATATCAGCCTTAGATTTTTTAAGATTTAAAATGGTTTTTAAATTGATGTGATGACTGACTTTTTACAATGACATCGAATTTCTTATGTAAAAACTCATTTTCACAACATGATTTTTTCAAAATTGTAAAATTTACAAAAAAAAAAAGAAAAAATTTGTTGTCTATTCGCATGAACTTTTTCGAAAAGTTTAATAATTTCTTTTTAATTTTTCATAAATTGCAATTAACTGGAGAACTCCTATTATTGACGATTAGTGTTATCGACCTATTATCATCATATCAGACAAATGAGATAATTCTGGTCGTTTAAAAATTTTTTAATATTTTGATGCGAAATATTTAGAAAAATTCCATTCAATTGACGAACCAAGACAGCCGCAAGAGCATCATCACACACAAAAGATGACTTGCATTTATAAAAGAAAAAATAGTTTATTTCTATACCGTATTCTTTCCAAAACAGCATTATATATGTATATTAATGCATCGTAAAAATATTATTCTAACAATTTTTGTCTAAACGTAAACTAATTCCTGCTCATGAGCACATCATTCACCACGCTATCTACTCCTTTTTTTTATGTACATCTACTTATCTTAATTTATTAATGTATTATCTAATTATCTATAATTGTCCCTCGCCCAAGACGCATTTTTGTATATCTGAACCTAACATAACGTGACGTCATTTGCTAAGTTAACATTGTTTTTTCCGAGTGGCACTTAATAATTATTGTTATCGTTTTCGATATTATACTTGGATTAATTTCGTTACACGAAGATAACCGTATTCCCCTCTTCTCGTTCAGTCCCTTTATAAGAATTGGAATCCTCACGAAAGTTTCTGTCGCTTTCTTGACACGAAATAGGCTACGATTTCATGTTTAACGATTCTTTGACCATGGCATACAAAAAATTTAAGCAGTAAAACGTAAGTAATATGCGAATTGATCACGGTAGAGTCCATAAGGCCGTAATGTATGCACTAGCTAATGCAACATGTTGATTTCCTTACTGCTTACGTCTTACTGCCTTAAGTTTTTTGTGTACCATGACCTTTAGGCCGGCATGCACAGTTCGTTTTTAATCTCAAGATTATCTCAAGTAATGTCTTAAGATGCTAATACGGCTGTCTGATTGGTTGATGACATCTTAAGCACTAATTCAAGACCATCTCGAAACTTGAGCAACGTCTATTGATTTCGTCCTTAAGGCCCAGTTTCACAATTTATTCATCTCTTTCCAATTCTAGAATTGAAAAGAGATGAGGAATAAATTGAACCTCGATTAATAGTTAATTGTGAAACTAGTTAGCCGTCAAACTATCGACTTATTGAATCATCTAGGAAAAACCCATAATCCCAGCTACTCCGCTCAACAACGTGGTTTAAGATTCGCTAATATTCGGAATTTAATTTTTTTTGTCGAGGTTCCTCAATTGCCCTGGAGTCCCGTTCATATTTCCTTTCGATTTATAATTGTTAAACCTGTCATTCAATTATATTAATTAATTTTAGATCAAACTCATCGCGCATCACTGAGAAAGATACAGAAACTCTCGTAACGCGCATGCGCAGACTCAATGTTACAATAATCTTATAAAAACGGAATTATCATCTATAACAACCTAATATTACAAATAAAAATCTTACAGTACAACACATCGCATTTATGCGCGCATCGATTTATATACGATAATTAACACTGGTCAGTTTAAGTCTATAAAAAGATATATCTTTATCGGTCCATAATTATCTTTATCAGGCAGAATAATCTTCATGTACAAAGTAGCTCGATATAACTCGATATAAGACTCCGTACTTTTCCATACGTTCTCTAACCGATCGAAGCAATGCGGAAAATCACTCGATGAATTTCTCGACAGAAACAGTCAATTCATTTTTTTTACATTTCTTTTTCGATTCTACGAAACTTCTAAGCGAAAATTAATCACTATTTACCGTACAATATCTGATCTTAGCGAGTTTTAACAAGCTAACAGAGATAATCGCTATTATTCATCCTCAATTCTCGCACACACTCATATAAAGATAATTTTTACAAAATAAGTTTCGAAAATACTTTTTATGGACATCTTCGATTCCTAATTTAAGCTACGCGTTGTTGCCAAAAAGGCAGAGGTGCAATATTATAATTTCCCAGGATCTCTATGTTTCGTAATCTTCTTTTTTTGTAATAAAAGAAAAGTAAATATGAAAAAACAGCTTAGAGACCCTTTATATTAGGAAATTACAATATTGCATCTCCGTCTTTTTGGCAACAACGCGCAGCTTAAATTAGGAATCAAAAATGTTCCATAAAAAGTACTTTCGAAACTCATTTTGTAGAAATTACCTTTATACGAGTGTGTGCAAGAATTGAGGATGAATAAGCGATTATCTCTGCATATATGCGGTGTGTTGTACAAAAACTATATTTTTTATAGACCTAAACTGACCGATGTATTACTTTACTGAATACGTGAAGTGTCTGTAAATGAAATAGTGATAAAAGAAATAATCACGATGTAATTTATTTAATCGTCATTTGTTATTCGTTCTTAAATTCCTTGAAATGATTAACATACTTTCGATTACTGATACATCACAACTGAAACATTTAAGCCATAAACAAGTCAAAATTCGTTTGGAACAGTCTCATCTCGAACATCTTTGATAAACGCGCCTAAATTTACACACCGTCTTTATTACAATTTAACAGCTATTGTTTAGAGATTATCAATCGCTTGGTGGTCCAAGTCGCATTGCTTCGAACGGATCCGCGTGTAAGCTCTCAGCAAATCTTCGGAAGCGAAGAATAAACACTGCATCAGTTGTAGGACTAGCCTTTGCAGGTCTTTCATCTCGATTACGACAATGAAATCAGACGTTAGATTGCACCACTCACAGTCGAATCACAATTCCCACATACACCGCGTCGTTCCTTTTTTTTTCTTTTTCTTGTGATAAACACGATGCTAAATCTCTGGATCGAATTTAATTCACTTGCAAAGTCAGAGCAGAGTATCTTTTAGGCGGTCATTGCGAATCAACGATGAGTCTCTCGAAAGATCCCTAATAAGAATCGAAGGCAATAGGCCGGACTCTATGATGGATATATGAATAAGAGTTTCAGTTTAGAATCCTAAATATTAGTAGAACTGAGATTTTAGAAATCGCGATTTCAGTCGTTGAAAATAGACGGAAGATTAAGGACATCCAATCAATTGACTTTAAGTAATATGTACGACATACCTAATAACGGTAGGATGTCGGATGTCTTCTCGCGAAATGTTTAACCTTGGTTGCGCGATTGGTCCTCTCTCTCTCTTTCGTAAATGATTAAAAAAAAGAAAGAAAAAAGATCGCCTAGCAAAATTCTATACGTCTGTATAAAAATTGGGCAAAAAAAATCATGTATGGTCATGACTTCCATTCGTCCATATCTCTCTCTCTCTCTCTCTCTCTCGCTCTCTTTTTCTCTCTATTTATCAATGTCTTTTTCTCTTTCGCTATAAAACAGCGTTATCAGAAAATAAATACATATATGTCGCGTTCCTCTAAATTGATAGTACTAAGAGAGGCACGGCACTTGCTATTTCTCTTCTTTCTTTCTCGGTTTTCGTGGCATAGATGATTTTATCATCTTTTTTTTATCGAATATGAGAATTCTGCAGCATCAGTTTGATCTTCTCATACGCATACAACAGATTGTCCGCCAATCCTTTACAACAACCATTTTCCTGAATGGTCTGGAATCTATAAGTCTTGAAGTTCTTGTCGTGATCGATATAGGTAACTGCCGTCATCAATGGACACATAATGATCTTTGCATGATCTAGGAAGTTGATCTGAGAAGTAAATGAAGTTTTATTTATCTCGGAGCAAGAGCAACATAACAATACTTATAACGTAACAATAACAAGAATTCTCAGTGAGACGACAATTTACATTTGATAGTACTCTTGTTTTAAAGTGTATTAAAATAGATAAAAATATATAAATGAATTTTAAATTGTGTAAAGTAACATTTTATTTCAAAACAAAAATGAAAATTATGAAAAATTTAGAAAACATAAAAATAAGATAAAAATAATAAATTATCACATTATATTACTTTTAATAAGTGCATTAGATAATAATAACTATATAGAGAGTGATGCATGACTCCATGTAGATTAATCTGTAAAGTTTTGAGTTTCCTCATCTCTAACATGCTTTAGAGGAAACTAAAGAAAGTAAAGGTTTAGAGTAAAAGTGTGTTGAGATCATAATTTTTATTTCGAGAAATAACAATAAACAATTAATATATATATATATAAGTCATCATTATCTCAATAGTTATCTGATGCATTCATAATTTGACGATTAATCATTATTTTATCTTTTTACATATACATGTATACACATACATGGATATATTTAGTTTCATAAAAATAGTTGATTAATTAACACTTACTTGCACTGTGCCATTGGTCAGTTGCATTACCACAGCTGTCTGAGTCCTAAACCACTGGTGTATATAAGGTATTCTATATAGAGAGTCACTCTGTTTCACCGTGATAGAGCCACCCGCCTTCATCAGATGCTCATTCATGTATTTCATAAAGAAGTTCATCAGTTTCATTTTCTTTTCAAGATTGATCGGACAATCCTTGACCGTGTAGTACAACTCATCGCCCTCACGATTGATATAATGAATATTGTAACCATTCGCCATCATGATCAACCGCGTGCCATCGTTGTACATCACGCCGACGCTATCATCAGACAATTGATACCCGAAACCGTACTTATCCGAATAGTCCACCCACTTGCTGATCCAAATCACAGGTTGCGCTGCCGGATCAGTCAATTCGTCTGCGCAAATTTTTAAAGATTTTTATAATAATTTTATATTTTAAATACAATAACACTAAATATAAGAACTATAGTTAATTCCAGTCATTATTTGCATTATGATATTCTATTAAGAAATATATGTAAAATAAGTTCATGGATATTTACATATACCTGTAATTTGTACATATGTATATTGTACCTATATATTGCTCATTTGTCAAAACGAAATAATTCAAAAAATCAAATTTTCCAAAAAATGAGTTTGAATATTTTCAATCATTAAAGTATGTGCATGTATTTTATACTATTATTTTTAAATGCAAATTTATTCATAATCATAATAACTGATTGTACAGGAATAAAAGTATATTAAGTCTTTTCGCTAGAACTGCTCAATAACAACCGAGATCGAACATTGTTAAAGCAAAACAATTGGCAAAATACGATAATGCAATATTGATATAATTGCTTTCTTGTGATGATTTCTAACTATAGCTAAAATTACAAAATATACAAAATTTTTATAGACATAAATTTTTTAGGATTTTTCCCATTAAAAATGTTAACTTTGGTGAGAAAAATATGTATATTGAATATTATTACAGATATTTATTATTTTAAGATATTTATTTATTATTTCTATTTTGTCAAGAATTATTAAGCTATAATATAACAGAAGCTATACAATTTTTTAACATACCTGCTGAAGAAATTGTCTCTCTAGCAGGCTTAGTTCTCAACACGATACCTATCTGCTCTTTCAACGTCTGAAGCATCTTCCTGATATCAAGGTTGACTCTTTGTGGCTCAGTGATTTCATTAGGCTTAGTTTTTCGTGATGGACTGTTCGGTACTCGGGAAAGGATCTCTTGCTCAGTATAACCGTTGAGATTCATCTCACCGAGTGGTTTACGATTGCAGTGTGACTCAAGCATGTCCAAACGTGGTGCCATTGTCAGACATGAGAGCGGCAAACTTGTTGGTAAGTATCCTGCAATTTTTAAAGAAAAAATTATTTTTTCTTTTCATTGACAAATAATAAGAAAGAAAAATTAAAAATTATTCAATATCGCAATTCGCTTTAACAATAGAGAAATTAAGAGAAATTTGGCAGAAATCAACTTAAATTTCTCTAATCTAATTTAAATTAATTTAAATTAACGACTTAATACAACAGCTTTATAATGGCTCTTGTCTAATTATTATTATTATTATAAATTAGAAAATTAATTAAAAAAAAAATAATATAATTTATGTTCCCATACATATCATTAAGGTCTGTTATATAATTAACAAAATTACATTACAAAAACACCCACATTAAATAATTTTATTTTAATTGAAACACTGATGTCTTACCAGAAGTAAAGAATGTGTCTCTCATTAATTTGGAGACGGATGGACGTTTTGAAGGATTCAATTGCAACATGTTCGCCACCATATTCATGGCAGGTTTACCAATGTGTTGCGGTGTCTTGTACTGCACTTGTTTGATCCTCGAATATGTCTCCTTCAAGCTTGACGTTTCGAAAGGCGGCTTTCCCACAAGTAGAGTATACATTATGCAACCAATACTCCATATATCAGCTTCGTAAGAGTGTCCAATTTTCGTGAGCACTTCTGGAGCAATGTAATTCGGAGTACCGCAGACAGTTCTGTTGAAAAATACACCAGTCAAATCATACAATAAAATTTTTTGTAATTATAATAAAATTAATTTACTTTTAGCAGAGTAAAAATCTCATCAAAATATGTTGGAATGTTCGTTAATAATTTATTAACATTCATTTAATTAAAAAAATTAGTAATTGAATTTAAACATTTAAAAAATATAACAAAATAAAACTTAAAAATATATAAAATATAATTTAATTTCTTCAGATTTAGCGTTAATAGAATTGTTTATAGCAACGAAAAGAGAAGATGACACATTTATCATAAGTGATGTATTTAAATAACAATTACTTTTTCCGTTCACCGTCGTGCTCCAATTTGGTCGCCAATCCGAAATCACCGATCTTGACTTGCAGATCATCATTCAAAAACAAATTGCCTAATTTTAAATCCCTGTGAATTATTCTGTGCTGATGCAGATAAAAAACTCCTTCTAAAATTTGCTTCATGAAGTATCGTGTTTCGCATTCCGACAGCGCTTTCCTGCGCTTGTGCAGTTCCATCATCGACTACAACATTAAACAATTATAAGATTGTCATAATCGGCATTGACTTTTAAAGTAGGTACTGCTATAAATGGTTACCCTCTTGCGACAGAGTTCCAGGATGATGTAAATATTATTGCTATCGTCGAAGAAGCCGTGAAAGCCAACGATGTGTCTATGACTCAAGCTTTGGTGAATCGCAATCTCTTGTGTCATTTTCTCTCTCTGATTGCTTTTCGCCATCAGTGACTTTGGCACGATTTTCCCCGCGAATACCTGGTGAGACTTTGACTCTGTGATTTCGTAACATTTTGCAAAGCCACCCTATGAAGTAATGGACATAAAATCAAACAAAGAAAAGAAAAATTATAAAAATTACAACGAAAAAAAAATAAAAAGGAAAAATTATAAAAATTGTAAAAAAGAAAGGGAAAAGCAAATTTCTTTTTTAAAAGAGAAGAAAAAACCAATATTTTAATTATAAAATAATTTTCTGCACGTAATTATATTTTAATGATTCGAGTGATCCATATATATGTATATTTAATGTTTATTTTTAAAAATTCATAACAAAGAAATTCACAAGAAAATTCTATTCACTTATGTCACATATTTTAATATACATGTATAATTTAACACATATATTCTATACATATATATATTCTAATCTTTCAGACGTTAATCTTATTATATAATATATAAAATTATAAACAGAATTTTATATATATATATATTCCAAATTTTAACACAAGTTCTAGAGTTTTTCTTTAAAATAGATTTAGCACCTGAAAAGTAACACAATATAAAGCAAAAGATAAAAATGGAATTAGATTGTTATAATATAGAGTAGACATAATGTTGTAATTTACACATCATACATATATGTATATAATATTTTTAATAATAAAAAAACATTTAAGCAATCCTTCATAAAATTTTCTCAGTTCTCTGATATTCATTTTTATCAATTTAAATTAACTTTAATCTCGGTTTAACTTACTTTTTTTACTATTCTAATAATTAGGGAATGGAAGTAACTGTAACTTGGTTATTTTTAAAAAGTAACTTTCCATTCCCTACTAAGAATTACATAAAGATAAGTTAACTTAAGAGATTAAAGCTAATCTAAATTGGTATATAGAAATAGAAAAAATTTAACTGTACATAATAAAATATAATTAAATACTACATATAATTAAGTAATCTTCTTCCATAAAACTTCCTCAATTTTGTGATGTCAATTTCTACAAAGGTAAATTAATCTTAGTTTAAGATCTTGGCTTATACTTTTTATCTATTTTCTAGTAGAACTAGAAAGAAATAAAAAATAGATAAATTAAAATAACTAACATGAGGCTGCTTGCCTTTTAGAAAACAAATATGTCTTATCTTTGTTATTTATTGAATGCCAAGAAAGACAGAACGACGTTTGTGTCAACTGTCTCCTCTAAAAAGTAACCTGAATTGATAGAAATGGACTCAAGTTAAACTTTCAATACAAATATTTATGGAGTCCCTAAAGGGGAGCTGAAACAATCTTTCTCGAACGTTACGAGCTTTTCTCACAATTACAAATCATCTCACGTCTCGTACGAATCGCGTCCTCGGCATGAGTGCAACAAGTGTCGGAGGATCGTGTTTACACGTATATGTATATATATATATATATATGCATTGCGAAAACTCGTGAGGAACGCGATAGCGCGAGGATAAGGTAACATTTGTGTCGTAGAAATTTTTTAAAGCTTGTTAACTGCAAGACAGAAAGATCCTCCGATCTCTCCATTTCGTAGCCAATCAACAGGCTTGAAGTCGTTACAACAAAAACGCACGAATGTAATCCTATCCTGACTGAGCAAGGTCGAGGCGAAGGCGAAGGCAGCTCAAGGACGCAGTGATCGCTCCTTTACCTTTCCAAAGAACCGGCCCTTCATGTAACTCTTGCCAGTGTTCACGTCGTATATCACGTTCGGTATAGTGCTCTCCTCCTCATTCGACATCATGCAAACGATGCAATCGCAGTGGCAAGCAAACCCGCTGTCGTATCACCGTCGAACGTGATATCACTCGATGACGCCGTGCGGCTATCAGACAACTTTTGCCACGCCGTGGCCGCCGTCGTGTCGTGGATCCCGACCAGCCCGACCTGCGCTTTCGCCCCCCCAAAATCACGTTACCGGCCGGCAGAGATTCGCGCGTTTATCGTATACTTCAATGACTGATGCGCACTGCTTTACGTTATATCCGATCGGTTCTCTCAATCGTTCTTCCGTGTCTCTGTGAGAAAAAGAACCGTGGTGAGGATGTTAAAGGGAAGAGCAAAAGAAGAGTGAACAGCCGTGAGCGCGGACACCCTACCGTACCGCAGGAACCACCCACCGAACTCGCTGCTCACCGTACTTCTGTTCAATTCAAACCGACCAGCACTCCACTGTCGCGAAAGACGTGCAACGCCAACGGCTCGCTGGTTTAAATGACGCATAGCCAACCAATCGCCGCGCGAGCCGGTTGGGTCACGTGGCTCGGCGGGAGCAAACGCGCGCCACCGTGCGGTCATTGGCCTCACTTCTCGTATAATTTTTTTCATGGAGAATAGAGACTCTCTCAATGGCTTATGGCGAATTCGATTGGAAGAACTAG